GCTCCACTCCATCCATCCCCCATAAGTTCCCTTTGTTAATAAAATCTCCAGTATCCTAATTATACTGCTCCACTCTAAATTTCTGCAGATTATTCCACAATCACACATTGACAGTTACCTACGAATTAAACCTTTTTGCACAATAGTTTAGCTGAAGGACAATGAGACAATCGAAGCTGTCCATTGTTAATCATTCATAAATTAGTTTGAGTAGACCTCTTAAGGACAAACACTTGGACTTCCTTGTGCTACTGTACTTAAATACCTCATAAAAGCCAACAACAGTCAAAAAGGGGAAAGACATATCTACACTTCTATCTTATACTTCATAGAAGAAATATGAAAGCAGAAGCTACATTTCTTATTCTCCTTGCAACCATTGCAGGTGAGTTTTACTAAATGATAAGCAAAATAAAAACATTATTATGCTTTAGAAAAATATTTTATCATCCAGTCCATCACAGGCTGCAAAGGTGCAATGAATTATTTTTAAGTAACTGTATCCTCCAGGTTTATCTGAGGGAGCTGGTGTGCTACTACAAGACCCACTGAATGTATCTGTTGGGGAAGTGAGCATGCTGGACACATATGGTGAGTAATAGATTCAACACAATGCTTTACTTCTAAAGCCTTCATCATTTATAAACAACTTTTTTACATTATCTATTAATTTCTCTTTTAATCTGTGTAAAATGTCTAAGATATTTTTGTATGAAGCTGACTAAAAACTTCTGTATTTGTATTAACTCTTATTAGTGTATTATCTACATTAATACATATTAACATAGAAGTGATTTTAACACACACATTAAGGAGCTGTTACATTTATTTTTCTTTTAGTCTATTATTTAAAAACACATTGAAAAAACTGAAAAAAATAAACTCTTAACTTTTGAAAATCTTTCACTATCATAAGCAAAAAAATGAGTTACATCCTGAAAGCCTTCCAATTTCACAATATTTCTATTAAATCATAAAAATATTTGCTTATCATGATAGCATTTTTAATAGGCTTAGTGGAATGTACGTCTTTATTTCACCAAACAAGTAAAAATTGTATCAGATTTTAGGATCGCATTGTAGGTTTAAAATTTCAATAAAGTTTAAAGAAAAGGTTTGAAATGTTTGACCATTAGAAATATGCTGTAAAAGTGCTGTAAAAAACATGCAGTAAAAATGTGGGAAAACATGTATATTTCATATATCTATTTTCATTGCACAAGTTATTGCCGTTGTAGTGTCGCATTAGTAGGTGCATGGATAAGAAGTTTAAGAAACAACTCAAAACTTACAAATCAGATCAGGAGCCCACATCAGCAAAGAGACAGTAAGCAAAATAAAGGACCCAGTAGAAAACAAAATCAAACTGGAGGCATGAGTAACACAGTAGCAGCCTTTCAAAATGGCCCTTCCCATTATCAAACGCCAGCCAAACGCCAGCCGAATGGCAGCCCACTTCTTTGCAACTCCCAGCAAAATCCTCTCCAACTTCCAGCCTCTGCAGTAACCCCCTCCTTCTCCTCGAGGTGCATTTTTTTTTTTTTTTATCTGACTTCACCCTTTCGCTGAATTACAGGGTCTGAACAGGAGATGATGCTTATCTTTAGATCTTAATGTCCATAAATCACGACAGAAAGAATATTTTAGTACAAAGATTAATGTTTAAAATGGAATTGTAAGGGACCAGCCAAGGACAACCTAAGGGCACATCAAGGAAAGTGGGGAAATTTTGAATGGCTATTACTGTAAATTGAAATGTGCAGACAATGGACATAATGAAGAGTTTCAGATGAAACCACTAAACTGGTGACTAAGGCTGAAGAGGAAAAAATTACCACGGCAGAAAGGGAGAAACAAGGAATAAACCAATATAATATATAGATTAAAAAAATGCAATAATCAAGATTAAAGAACTGACAAACTAAGGGCACAGAACCCTCAAATTAAACTAAAAAAAACCAAATAGATCATCTCAAGACCTCCCATTTACCCAAAGGACGCCAGACCTATGTAGCCTGACAAGCCAGATTGATAATTTGTGAATGTGCCCACTTATCAAAGTTGGGCTTTAACCAATCAGGAGTAAAAAAAAAAGGCCCTAGACATAGGCAGAGTCTTAGTCCTGAAGCCTGGTTGAGCAGAGTTCTCGTAGGTCGGTGACAAAGACAAACCTGGAGGCTGGCTGAGATGAGACATCATGGACCGGAATTTAGGAACCATGACCTATATGTTGGAGGCAAACAAAAAAAATTTGGCAACTGGCAGTAGTGAAGGCAATGACCTAGTAATAGGATGCAGCAAGGTTGTGGAAACTTTGGGGATCAACATTTAGAAAGGAGTCTTGAAGGTCAACATCGCCCCGAGTTGTCTTGAGATCATATTTTATTCTGCATCGAACAGCAACTTTTTTTGTTAACAGAACCCAATATGTTGGTCCTGCTTAGAATCTGGCTATCTTCAAGGAAAAGTCCGGTCAGCAAGGAATAACCAAAGGGTCATTGTTTATACCTAAAACAAATACGTTCACAGTAATTTAATAAATTTAGTTAATCAGTAAAGATCAAAACAATATTTTTCGTTGCGATCTGAGTACTGAGTATGGGTTCCAGACATTTTTGCCCAGATATAGTAAACCCTCACTCCTGATATCTTCCAGCAGGGATGTTGCGGTGCAGTAAGCCAAAGGCCATTCTCCCTGCTTTAGAAGCAAAATCAATGGGAACTAATAGACACCCCTCCAATTAACAACAATTATTTAAGATTTTGAGAGGACTTCACCATTTAAATCCGCGAGAGCTATAGATAAATTGACAATGCCCGATTGCATGGGATTTGGATGTTGTAATGCATCGAGTAAAAGTGGGAAAAAAAATTAACATTTCACCTTTCCAATTCATGATCCACCATAAGTTCGTTGTTGGATTGCCAACTTGAACAGGGAGGATTTGCCGTCAAACCTCTGGCCAGAGAAAAAACACGTCATTCATCTGTTACTCTCTGCTTCGCATAGTGAACTGGTTGTCACCGTCATGGATAATAGCGTGTTATGAAAAACACAGGCACAGCACTAGGACTTGATCAACAGCCGATACCGCAGTGTGACGTCATAAACCGGTAGATGGCAGTAGTACTCTTTGACAAAAGTGGATGTCTCCGGTAAAGCGCATTCAAATGAAATTACTCTTAATTAAAAAGACTTATCATTTATTGAAAAGTATGTAATAATTTCATACTTAAAGTACTTTCAGAAGTTTGTATTCTGAATGTGACTGGACCATTCCTTTAAATCACCATCAACCATCAACTCAATTGTAAGCCAACTATACCTTAAAAACACTAATAACTAATAATCTGTCATCATATCAAATCATATTAGAACTCAGAATTTCCCGTTACCTTGTTAACATCCTCTGGCATTTCAAAACATGTTCTATCCTAGTATAAATCCACCATAACATTTTTTTTTTCATATTTAGTTTGTTTTATAAGAATGCCAAGTTTCTCAATTTATTTGCATCTTGCTGGGTGTTTTTCTTTTCTCTGTGTGTTTTTGGAGAGTCAACTGTTAAAGTTTCAGCTTGGTTTGACAGAATACTTAAAAGAAATTCAAACGATGACCTGCGCTGGAACCGACATGGTTACCAATAGGTCCTTTGGATCTATTTAATTCTTTTTTTCTTTTTTTTTTTACAACTGCTGCTTTACTAATTATTCAAAAGCAATAAGGTGATAGCTTCAGTGCTATTGAGATAGGATCCCAGTTTTCATCTGCTAAATGTTTTTTTTTTCACAACAATGAAAACACGCTGGGCCCCTCCTGGCCCCCTGGTAAATTTGGTCTAGGTCCACCACTGTTCCTCACCTTCACTAGACGTGGAGATACTTTAGTATATTCTGCTGTAAAATTTGTCTTATATTTTCGTTATTTACTTGAAGATTGAACCTCTGCCGTTTTACAGGATGCACAGCTTTGAGTGGTAACTAGGTAACTGCCGGAGAGTAACGCAAAAATTATCGGACTGATCCAATCAGCTCTCTGACAACCAATCACCTTGAATGCTCTTTGAATCGCTTTGGACAGATACGATGCATAGGTTTCACAAGTAACCGCCTCCCCACACCCCGCGCTCTCTTGTTGTCTGCTCAAGCTAGTAGTTCTAATCCGCACATGGTGCATGATTAATTGTATTGCCCGCCCGCTCTCATTCGCATTATAAAACACCACCTCGCATAGTCTATCTATATCAGGGAGACTCCCAGAACTTCCGGGAGACTTGGAATGTCTGTTAAAAATCCACGTTTATCTAGTCAGTTTTCATTATGGTCCAAAAAAAAAAGGAGCATCAACGAAATAATTTTGCCATCTTCAACGTTGACGAAAACTATACTGTTCAGATGAATCATAACCTTGAGACCATGATTGTATCTCCTGGGCAGGCAGGCCGTCAAGATGGAGTGGTTCCAGTTAACTTCTTTGGAGAGTAGATTGCAGAGTAGTTCTCAGAATAGGGAACTGAAAATAACACAAGGATTAATGGGGACATGAAGTATTTCCAACTGTTCAAAGAGGCTGAGAGCTACCATTTGTATAACACTTCGGCAAAGAGTGACTGGCTCACTGCAATACTCACTGCCATTGTCATG